CATATGCCCAATAGCAAATTAAAAATAATAATAATAACATTAATTTTTTAAAACATTAAACAATAAAAAGAAGAAAACCCAGAGGCCAAGCCTGAGCCCAGGTTCCCAGTGGGGGAGTCACATACTTCTTCAGTCTCTCCCACAGCAAACTGAGGGACACTGGACGGCAGGTCGCAGTGGGACCGGAATGGCACAAGGCGCACCCTGACAGCATGGGCAGTAAGTAAACGAAAACTGAAGACAGAGGCAGCCGGAAACGTTAACATGATCTTTATTACACAGCACGTGTGGTGTTTGTGCATCCCCCAAGTAAATAGAATACTCTATAAAAACCAAACCCAACCATTCAAAATGACACTGAATGAGGACTTAACCCAGAGTCACATCTCTTAAAAACACACACAATTAACACGGTTCTGCTGTAACAATATTATGGAAAGAGCCAGGTAGCATAAGAAAAGAGGGATATAAAGACCGAAGTTTGTGCCAAAGTAATTTTCTTTTGTTATTGCACTTTTATTCTACACACTTAGTATGTTACACTTTTAACACTGTAATAAAAGGCCACCTAAATTGTCCTATTCAAGGGACAAATCTGCTGAAGGACGTGTACTTTAAAAAGCTGCCTGAGGGACCAGTAGGTGGCAGTGGCTGAGGTGCTGGACTCCCATGTGTCAACTGTAGTTAGAGTCTGGATCTGGCAGTTTGAAATTCACACCAGGCGCGTGTGCATCCATGCCCAAAATCCTGAGGGGAGAATGGAAGAGAGGGGACTACGGCGTGGCCATTCCCCCTGGAGTATGATTTCTTGCTTTCTGTTTCTCTGTCTCTCCAGCGAGTGCATGCACCCTATAGCAAAACTCTCAAAAAAAAAAAAAAAAAGTTGCCTGATCTAAAAATATGTATGCCTGATCTAAAATACGTATACACAACAAGTTATTTTTTCCCAAGCAGTAACCGTAAAGGAGGAGATTAAAAGAACTGTCACACTGAACTTTGTACTAGGAGAATATACAGTATATGCATTTAAGATGGGATGTACTTAACTGTGAAGGCTGGCTGAGATTAGTGGGGAGTTTCACAAACCTCAGGGGTGGATCTCTTTAAACAACCACTGTGCAGGGGGCAGGCTGAGAACCTCAGATAAATCTTCAGCTTTTCCCTTAAGCACCAACGCATTGTTTAAGATGTGCTGCCATCTACTGGCCAACTTTGTGTTGCAGTCAAATCACAGCAATTATAGCAAGTGACTAAGCCACAGGAGCCAGCCGGAAATAGTGACCAAAGCCCCACCTGCCACCCCTGCCCTGTAAAGGAGGCACGCTGTGTGCAGACTGCCCCTGGTAGACTACAGACAGTGCTGCCCTCCTGGTGGTGGCACCCCCTACGTTGGTGCCTGCCAGACACTGCTTACCAAGCTAATCTGAATATGGGGTGAACCTAAATACAACATTCAAAATATTCTAAATGCAGATGGGCCGGTACATAGACTACAGCCCCAAACTCCCCCAATGTATAGAGTAGTAGGCTTGAGTATGATCTCAGAATGCAACAAGTCCGTGCTGAAAGGAAACTGGAGAAAAGTGTCACCCCGGGATAGGCTCTGAAACACAAAGCGCTATCCCCCCACTTTGTCCTCATCTCCACTATCCTGTCTCCCATTCCATGTCCCTTCCCCTCTCCCCATTGCATCCCCACAGCAGTGGTAATGTAAAGAACCTAGAGACCAGGGCCAGCAGGTGGCATGGTGGCTGAGGAGCTGGCTCCCACATGGCCAACTGTGATGGGTCCTGGACCTAGCAGCTTGCTTTCTCACTTTCCCTCTCTCTCTCGGGTGAGTGCATATGCCCAATAGCAAATTAAAAATAATAATAATAACATTAATTTTTTAAAACATTAAACAATAAAAAGAAGAAAACCCAGAGGCCAAGCCTGAGCCCAGGTTCCCAGTGGGGGAGTCACATACTTCTTCAGTCTCTCCCACAGCAAACTGAGGGACACTGGACGGCAGGTCGCAGTGGGACCGGAATGGCACAAGGCGCACCCTGACAGCATGGGCAGTGAGTAAACGAAAACTGAAGACAGAGGCAGCCGGAAACGTTAACATGATCTTTATTACACAGCACGTGTGGTGTTTGTGCATCCCCCAAGTAAATAGAATACTCTATAAAAACCAAACCCAACCATTCAAAATGACACTGAATGAGGACTTAACCCAGAGTCACATCTCTTAAAAACACACACAATTAACACGGTTCTGCTGTAACAATATTATGGAAAGAGCCAGGTAGCATAAGAAAAGAGGGATATAAAGACCGAAGTTTGTGCCAAAGTAATTTTCTTTTGTTATTGCACTTTTATTCTACACACTTAGTATGTTACACTTTTAACACTGTAATAAACATTAGTCCTTTAAAACAAACAAAAACATTACATAAAGACAACAACCTGTCCAGACCAATTTTCTTTTCAACCTGCTGGGCAAGGCAGCCTCCTCCATGCCAGGTGTTCTCCATCTCTGTGATCACTTCAGTTGGACTGGATGTTAACAAAGCATATAAAAGTTCAAATTAAAACCCTTGGGCCAACAGGTGGCATGGTGGTTAAGGTGCTGGATCCCACATGGCCAACTTCATAGTTTGAGTCCCAGACCCAGTGGCTTGAAAAACACACTGGGTGCCTGTGCATACAGGCCTAAGATCCATGGCTCTACCCCTTGGGGGTGATTTCTCACACTGTCTCTATCTATCTCTCTGGGAGCGCATGCACCCTATGGCAAAAATCTAAAATGGCAAAAATTAAAATTAAATGCTTTCGAGAATAGTAGTGCTACTTGAAACCTCCAGGGAAGTTTGTAATGCAAGTGTCTCTAGGCCACGCCTCCTTACCTACTTGAACACTGCATTAGCCTTAACCCATCCACCCTCACATTATCCCATCCCATGGCCCTTTTCAAAGGACAAGCCCTGTTTTTCTTTTTTTCTTTTTCTTTTTTTTTTTAAAGTAGGTTATTTGTTCCAGCATTGTTCCAAAAAGCAAAGTTTGAAAACTCAAAGAAATCAACACTTTTTTGGTAATGGTCTCCAGGGCCCTTAACCCCACTCTAATGCATTATGGACTTAGCTTTCCTGATTAGCCCAACGGAATACCACGCATGCCTTCTCTCCAAAGCAAGGCCAGAGGGTGCCTCACGTTTCCCTAAGTGCTACTGTAATCACCAATCCCCCTGGGCTTCTCAGTGCTAAATAATAAGCCAAAAAGTAAAGTGTCATTCAGTGCAGTTGTCACCTCACAGCCCTGCCACCCTGAGCTATTTCTCCCCTAGGGAAACACATTATTCAGCCCTTCTTTGGCAGCTCAAGCAAAAAATACAAAAGCTTGTTTGAGAGTCGACAAAAACTAGTCTACAGGTTTCTCATTCCTGTTTCTATTTGTGGTAGCGAAATAGAAACTGTTTCCTGGAACTGTAGTGTTAAAAATTGGGTGACCCGGTGGTTAAGGCGCTGGATCCCACAAGACCAACCACAGTTCAAGTCCCAGACCTGGAGGCTTGAAAATCACGCGGGGAACATAAACATGTGTGCCCAAAACCCCAGGAGGAGAATGGGGAAGAAGAGACTGTGGCTTCACCATCTTCCCTGGGGACGATCTCCTACTTTCCCTCTCTCTCTGTCTCTCTCCGTTAAGCGCACACACCCTATGGCAAAAATCCTTTAAAAAAAAAAAAAAAATAGGAGAAGCTGCTGCCTAGACTCTGTCCCCTTGAGGCTGATGAAGTCAAAAGTGACTCTCTTTGGCCTAGGGACATCCAACAGTCCTCCTTCCCAGAGAAGCACAAAGCTTGCAGAGGCTCAGGGACCAAGGACACGCCTGTGAGAACCTCACCCATGCTGTGCCAGCATGGCCTTGCTGTTGATTCTCTAGGCACCAGGCCAGGCGTGCCAGGGCCCAGGCTCCACTAATAGTTCTTGTGACTCTGCAGGGGTCCTCTCATTCAGGTATGAGGCGAAATGAGTAACCAGACTTCAAGCTCATTACAAATAGCCAGGTCATCGTTTCTGTGCCCTAATTAAGCTGATTAGAAGGACAGAACACAGTACAGGCAATTCTTTCATGCCGTCCTTCCTCCCCGAGCAGTCTCATCTTACAACTTGGGAGCATGTCTGACCAAAGCCAGGAGGGGGGATCTCAGGACTTCGGCCCCGTGTAGCGCTCTGGAGCCCGAGGACCGCCAGACTTTTTTGAAAACCTAGTGTCTTCCCAAGTAATTTATAATACAGTACATTTCATGGCATTCCATCACTTAATAATAATGGGTGCCGAGGAACAAAGAACCCCAAGTTAGCCAACAATGATATAGAATAAAAAGCAAAGTATACACACGTTGTACACACATGTTCCTGCACTCAGCCTGCTGAGTATTTAAATAACATCCCAAAATATCCATATGCGGACTTTGGGCTGGCCTGGAGACTTTCAGGAATATTTTACATCTTTTCTCAGAATATTTTGTTTTAAAAGAAACTAACACAGCTAGCTACTACTCTCCTTCCTTCTTTTATGGGGGGTGGGGGTGGTGGAGATGTGGTGAATCTGCGGGTAGCTGAGAGCAGAGTGAGCCACTGGGGGGACTCAGTGAGGAAAAACAGAACCTCCTATGTGTGTGTGTGTGTGTGGGGGGGGGGTTACCGCTAGGACTTCCCAAGAATGTTAGGAATGTGGCCTCCACAATGGAAGCACAGACGCCTGATTACAGCTAGAGCTAAGACAGTCCCAGAGGAAGCTATGCTGGGAGTCTTCAGAAAGTTTGTAGAAGATACTTATGCAAAAACTGTATTTGAATGTTGGAATTTTCATGCACCAAGTAAAACTCACATTGTCATCTCATTTCTCCAGGAACTTTTTCAAAGTCACCTTGCGTACAACTTGAGATTTCATACAGGACTGACTTAGGGTGGTTTTTTTTTTTTGGCAAGTAGAGACTACTCACCTCTCCTTTCTGAACTCTTCGCTTGACACCGAGCTTCCTGGAAGCCCCCTACAGACCCCTCATCAGAAGGATGATGAGTTCTGAGAAAACTCAAAGTGAGCTAAGGAGGCGTTAAAAGTCCTGAGCTTCACCTGTGATGCCAGTGATTTGGGTGGCTGGGGCAGGAGGATCCCAACACATGAGACTCTGTCTTTAAAAAAAAAAATTCTAAGAAATATACGACACATTCTGCTAAAACAAGGCTGGAGTGTGGAGAACCCAAAGGCTTGGCTCAGTTATTTTCTCATTTGCAAATAAAAAGGTTATAAGCACTACATGAAGTTTCTGAAAGGCTGGAGTGCTCAAGGGGTTACCGCATTCAAAGATAACTATAACCAGAGCCCAGGAGAGCCAAAGATTAAAACTGAACTTTCAAAGTTGCATGACAAATGTATTACAGACTCCAATTACACTGTCAATATTCAAAAGATGGGCATTCTGCTAGAAAAATCCCAGCAGCAAATGCATCACGACTCTCATACTACCCGAGGACCTGTTTCATATGTTTTGGGGCCAGTACAAGGGCCAGACCACAGTTTTTGAGGATTAGGCAGGCAGATGGAGGTTACTCAGCCAGCCTGTCTATTCCTTCATCTGTCTGTTTTTCTGAGTCTAATGGAACAATTTGGTTGGAGAAGGCTTAAAGTCAGGATTCATAAATTGTTCCCCTTCCTCTGACTAGAATCAGATTTCTGTCCTCACATAAACTACATGAGAAAGTACAAAAGACCACCATCCCAGCTCCCAGCTTCAGGGCAGGGGAGCCCCCCATGTAGACACACAGTGGAGAGGGGCGCATCACAGAGCCACCAGAGAAGTGTCCTCTTTTGTCGGGTTCTTTTCTCCTTCTACCAAAATATATTTGTAATATGGTAAATGGAAGGGACAAATGGCAGGGAAAAAGCCTTGGTTAAAAAGCTCATCAAATTTTAACACAGCAGTGTGCTAAATTCAAAACAAAAGTTTCTGATTTTTCAAAGTTGTAAAACGAGCTGGTAACCTTTCAGTAGGTTACGGCCTCCAGATCCTGTCCCACCTCTCAAGTCTCACCCAAATACTTCACGTTGTTATTCTCGCTCAGACACTCACTCCAAAGCATCATGTTGTCTGGAGCTTTCCCACCTTGAGACCAAAAAAAGGAAAAAAAGGGGTGGGGTGGGGGAAGACCAAAGGGTAGAAAAATAGATCTGTCTGGGGTTAGCAGTAACTCAGCATCCAACAGTGTACACACATACACTTTTTTTTTTTTGGCCTATTGGTGATGTAACAGTGAAATGCTGTCCTCCCCCAGGAGTCAGCAATGTGTGCTCCTCTAAATGTAAACACACTGGAACTCTTAGGAACAGGCAGCTTTGTTTCTAGCTTTCTCACTGGGGCTCCTGACCACTGCAACCTGAGATTCCCCTACTACAGACAGCAGGAACCAGGCATCCACAACTGACCTTCTGTCCCCATGTTCTAACAATCTTAGAAATAAGCTCAAATTTTCTAAGTGTCTTGACCATTGATAAAATCAACTTATTCCTAGCTAGAGCCAAAATAATGAAAATGAAGAGTTGTTAATGCTATTGCCACTGCAGTGTCTAATCGTTGTCTTAGAAACATACACAGTGAATAGACAGTGGTAACATTCGCCTCCTTTTCAGTTGTCACATTTTTCAGCTTTGCATCTTTTGCCACAGGACTATCTTGGGGTATCGGTGAACTGCCGAACGTGCTCAGCTCTCCCAGTCTTCACTGTCCAGGAGATGCCTCTGCTTGGCAAGGTCTCAAGTTGCCCAGCAAGCACCAGTTCCCTCAAGATCTTCCTATAATGAGTTACATGCTGAATTCTCCCCATGGCCAAAAGGTGAGGGGAAGGAAAAAAGTAGAGCGTGAAAGAGAAAGGCCTCTGCTTTCAAGTGGAATCATCCAGCCCTCTGTTTGGCTGCTCAGAATTTGACTTGCATAGCCGGTCCATGATGCCCTGGAGCATGGGCTGGACAATGCCCAGGAGAGGCCTCTGTGAGGGGTCACCATCCCAGCAGGCTTCCATCAGCTGCCAGCACTCCTCATCAAACACAGGAAGACGCTCCGGGCGGGCCCCTAGGGAGGGGAGCATGGAAATGAGACCAGAGCCAGTGAGAAGAGGCATGACTAGAAAGGCGGTTTGCCTGGCTGGGGCCGTATCTAACGAATGCAGTGAGTTTTGCCTGCATTTGCAAACCTACAACCCAGTGATAATAGTGATAGAAAACTGGAACATACTGGTATGGGAAGTTGAAGAGTTAAAACTTTTAAACAAAAAAGCCGTTTAAGGTAGTTCAGAAGACTGTTGCCTAGAAGCAAAGTTTGACTTAAATGGCTCTTCTGGATTCCATGATGGTTTTAATTTTTAAAAACTTTATGATAGTGGGGCCAGCAGGTGGCATAGGCTCCCTTATGGGTGGCCATGGTTGGAGCTCTAGACATGTCAGCTTGAAAATCATGCTGGGCATGTGTGCATGCATATCCAAAATCCCAAGAGGAGAATGGAGGAGAAGGGACTATGGCATGGCCATCTCCCCTGGGGGGTGATTTCTTACTTCCCCTCTCTCTGTCTCTGGAAAGTGCATGTGCCCTATGACAAAAATTTAAAAGATAACAAAACAACAACAAAAATTCACAATATGCATGCATATGAGAGGGAGGGAGAGAGAGTGAAAGACACTTCCAACAGGGACAGATAACACTGAGGTACCCTTCCCCAGGCCTTTCGGCCCATCAGGATCTTGGACAGGTGTGTACGCCTGGTATGTCTCATGCCAGCTGGGACAGGAATCTGAACCTAGTCTGCCACATGGAACTGAGTGCACCACAGAGCTGGGCCTCCAAGAGATGGTTTAGGCATGCACACGGTCTTGCTGTGTGGAGTGGCTGCAGAGGATGACGGGGGGCCCCGGCGGCAGTGCCTGGGCTCAGTCTACTCTCACCAGGGCAGCAGGACAGAAGAGTGCTTGTGGCTCTTACCTCTCCGCACATTATTCCAGAGATGGTCTTTGCCAGCCCGCCTCTCAAACGCCTCAGGAAGCTTAACAGAGCCTGAGCAGATATACCAGAAGAGAATTCCAAAAGCATAGACATCCACGGAATTACCTCAAGATCTTCCTATAATGAGTTACATGCTGAATTCTCCCCATGGCCAAAAGGTGAGGGGAAGGAAAAAAGTAGAGCGTGAAAGAGAAAGGCCTCTGCTTTCAAGTGGAATCATCCAGCCCTCTGTTTGGCTGCTCAGAATTTGACTTGCATAGCCGGTCCATGATGCCCTGGAGCATGGGCTGGACAATGCCCAGGAGAGGCCTCTGTGAGGGGTCACCATCCCAGCAGGCTTCCATCAGCTGCCAGCACTCCTCATCAAACACAGGAAGACGCTCCGGGCGGGCCCCTAGGGAGGGGAGCATGGAAATGAGACCAGAGCCAGTGAGAAGAGGCATGACTAGAAAGGCGGTTTGCCTGGCTGGGGCCGTATCTAACGAATGCAGTGAGTTTTGCCTGCATTTGCAAACCTACAACCCAGTGATAATAGTGATAGAAAACTGGAACATACTGGTATGGGAAGTTGAAGAGTTAAAACTTTTAAACAAAAAAGCCGTTTAAGGTAGTTCAGAAGACTGTTGCCTAGAAGCAAAGTTTGACTTAAATGGCTCTTCTGGATTCCATGATGGTTTTAATTTTTAAAAACTTTATGATAGTGGGGCCAGCAGGTGGCATAGGCTCCCTTATGGGTGGCCATGGTTGGAGCTCTAGACATGTCAGCTTGAAAATCATGCTGGGCATGTGTGCATGCATATCCAAAATCCCAAGAGGAGAATGGAGGAGAAGGGACTATGGCATGGCCATCTCCCCTGGGGGGTGATTTCTTACTTCCCCTCTCTCTGTCTCTGGAAAGTGCATGTGCCCTATGACAAAAATTTAAAAGATAACAAAACAACAACAAAAATTCACAATATGCATGCATATGAGAGGGAGGGAGAGAGAGTGAAAGACACTTCCAACAGGGACAGATAACACTGAGGTACCCTTCCCCAGGCCTTTCGGCCCATCAGGATCTTGGACAGGTGTGTACGCCTGGTATGTCTCATGCCAGCTGGGACAGGAATCTGAACCTAGTCTGCCACATGGAACTGAGTGCACCACAGAGCTGGGCCTCCAAGAGATGGTTTAGGCATGCACACGGTCTTGCTGTGTGGAGTGGCTGCAGAGGATGACGGGGGGCCCCGGCGGCAGTGCCTGGGCTCAGTCTACTCTCACCAGGGCAGCAGGACAGAAGAGTGCTTGTGGCTCTTACCTCTCCGCACATTATTCCAGAGATGGTCTTTGCTAGCACACCTCTCAAACGCCTCAGGAAGCTTAACAGAGCCTGAGCAGATATACCAGAAGAGAATTCCAAAAGCATAGACATCCACGGAATTATCGTATTTTCCTAGAGTAAGAAAGGATGAAAAAGTCATGAGCCAGAGAGATGGAGGAAGCAACACCTGCAGAGGTCTTCACGTGTCTTTTCTTTTCCTTTTCTTTTTTTATTTTTTTAAAAATTTATTTATTCATTTACTTATTTTATTTTGACCAGAGAGAGACAAAGAGAGAGAGAAAGTGAGAAAGCAAGCCACCAGATCCAGGACTTGAACCACGGTCAGCCATGTGGGATGTCTAGCACCTTAACCACCACACCACCTGCTGGTCCCACACATGTCTTTTCTTAAGGCTTTTAACATCCACTGTCTTTCATACCAACTGTGTCAGGTTAGGCAGGGCACATTTACTTGTGTATGAAAAAGAATTATTCAATTTTATTTATTGTTATTATGACCAGAAAGAGACAGAGAGAGACAGAGGAAGTAAGAAAGCAAGCTGCCAGGTGTCGTAGTCAGCCATGTGGGATCCAGTGCCTTAACCACCACACCATTTGCCAAACCCAGCAGGGCACATTAATAATGTCCATTCATAAAACAAAAAGTTATGGCATTGGAAAGTCACAGCTAGATAATATGAGAGCCAAGAAGATAACTTGACAAAGGAGAAGGGAAATAAGGCCTTTCACTTTAATGGGACAGTCAAGCAGAATAGTGAAAGGTCATTTTAGAGAAACAAAGTTGTGAAATACAGGTGAGTGGGTACATTGGAACCGAAGTATAAACATTTATAAAGTCAGAAAGGTCTAGATCTAGTGGGCAGCAGGATGTCATTAATGTTTTAGAGCAGGAGGTGACATGGAGAATATAATGTTTTAGAAAGTTCATTTAGACTGTAGGATAGACTGCAATAGAAACAATCAAAGGTTCAGTATGAATTACCCAAAACAGCATATTAGCAGTGAGTATAAAAATTCTAAAAATACGAAGTATCTAGGGAGAGGAAAATGGAGTCTGTCTCTTGGTTCAGATGTGAGCTGGACTCCAACGGTCTAGCCAACTCCTAACCCTTAATGTGCTCCACTCAATGAAGAACTACATACAGAATGAAAGAAATCAAAGAATATTGCTAGTTTTCGCTATAACTCAGCAATGATTAACCTCTTTCCTTTCATCTCCCCTGGCACTAGAACAGTCACTCCCTGTCAATCCAGGCTGAAATACTCAGAATCATCTTCTAGCCATTTGTTCCTGTTTATTGTCCATATCAACTTAACCACAAAATCCTGTCTGTTCTTCCTCTAAATTGATCTCAAATCTGTCCCCATGTTTTTTGTGTCGTTACTATACCAGCCTAATCCTAGAGACAACCACTACCTAACTGATCTCCTTATCTTGGTTCTTCACAATCAAATCTTCTCTACCTTCGGAGGCTAAGCTAATCCTCCATAAACATTTTCTTTTCATTTCCCCCCTGCTCAAAGTTCAGTAGCTTCTGGGGTCCAGACGATGGTGCAATGGTAAAACACAATGCTGCGTGACGCTGAGCCACATGGGAAGGTTCTGGATTACATCTGGAGACCTCCGTGAGTATACGGGGCACACTGGATCTGGCTGAGGCTGAGGATGGATTGTGGCACTGAGACCCAACTGGGGGTACTGTCTCTCTCATGCTCTCTCACTCATGAAAGAAAGAAATTTAAAAAAGCAAAAAGCTCAGTAGTCCTTATATAACAAACTTTAACTCTTCCGCATCAACTTTATACTCAATGTATTGAGTCATTAGAAAAGTCATGACGTATTTTTGCATAGAAATAGACAGAAAAATACATTATGACTTTTTTGATGATCCAATGACTTATCTCTCTAACTTTGTCTGCCACTCTTCTTCAAATGAATTTCTTTCCTTTCTTGCTTATTTCTAGTCTGCAATATTCTTCATGCTATCCCCTTCTCTAGCCTCCAGAATTTTCTCTACTTCATGACACATGGCTGGACCCTGGAGACAGAAAGACCTAGCTAGATTAAAATGCCACTTCCATTGCCTTCTTCTCTGTGTTTTAGGGATGGGTTTCTTCCTCAATCTGGTCTCAATTTTATCCATGAAATGGACATAAAAAGATATAAGCATCATTACATAACTGTTGTGAGGATTAAATGAAACAAAATGTATGAAAAACATATCCATGTGACCTACCTCTAAGTATATACTCAGTAAATGAGTTTCCTTCCCACCCTGTTTTTCCAGATCTGACTCAAGTTCCGCACAAAACCTTACCTATACTATAAAAGCATAAACATTTCAACCTCCATTTATCCCTAAGATTTAAAGCACTTCATTTAGCACTTAATCACATGCTATCTTATACTGCTTCCGAACTATTTCACCTCTCTTCATATCTCTGTCAATTGAAAGTTCTTTGGAGATAGAAGACAACTCCTGTTATACAGGAGTTATTCAATCAATATTTTAGGATTAGGAGCCACATGGTAGTTTGGCAATGTGGTACAACCCTCTTCAAGGCAATCTGCATGGGAAGGTACCTGGTTCACAGCTCGAGACCGCCCTGAATATGCATGGCAGACATGCGCCCAAGATCTGGAGGGCGCCAAAGGCTGGGATGGGTCACAGAGATAAGACCCTGTTAGGAGTGCGTCTCTCTCTTTCTTTCTTTTTTTTTTTTTTTTTTTTTTGAGTGGGTTT